TAGATATAATGGTGTCTTAGAATCCTGGGCCAGGCTAACCAAGAAGATAGGAACCTTGACTACATTTCATTCTTGCAAACAGCCTTCCCTCAAGGCTAACAGTGAAAGGCTTCCATAGAAACACCAACCATAGGTTCATGTGCTATTTATAATTGCAAAATTCTTCAGACTGAAGTTTGTAAGAATTCTATCTGGGGCAGAGTGTACTTACTAAAAGGAGTTTACAAGTATTATGCTGATACCTGGGGATTGAAGAGCCAGGAGGTACTGTTATATAAAAGAAACTCTTTTGGGGACATTTTCACTTAGCTTGGGAAAATAGGATATTTTAAAGAGTATCATTCAGGACAAAACTTTTTTTTAAACAATTGTACATAATGTAAACATTTGAATAAGTTTGCTTCCAAGTTCCATATGTAAGGTAACAATAGTTACTCACTTAAAGAGCTGTTGTGAGAATTAAAGGAGGTAATTTATAAAGGAACTTAGGATAGGATCAATGATAAAACTTAGGTTTCTTGTGTCATTGATCTGGATCTAATAGTTCTCCAATGAGTCACACTGCATGAAGTTTGAGTTGATGGTTCTTGTGATATGTAGACCCTGAGGCCAATATTGAGGGTTTATTTAGGGTTTTCTGTTCTTTGGATTTGTCATTTTGGTATTGTTTTGGTATTGTTTCTCCTTTTACAGACTGATGTCAAATGGAGGAAAGGAACAACAATTTAAAAAAAAAATGCTGTCTATTCTTGGCCAAAAGTGGGACATTCCCAGAGAGAAGAGGGAGGCTCCACTTGGTTTTTAAAATTACCAGAAGCCCTGTCCCAGAATTCAGTCCAGTTGGTTGATGCCAAGTCAAAAAGGCATCCTCTAATGGTTAGAGATGATCAGTTGCTATTTATGGTTTTATGGTAACCTTTGAAATGTCCTGTTTTGGGGGGTTTTTTGAATAAGCCAAGATCTGGCTAAATGATGAACCACAGAAGTGACCCAAGGTAATCTGGCACCCAGGTATATTATTTGCCATCCCAAACTACCACAGAGTAGGTTAAAAAGTGATAAACCAGCACTCAAATGCAATTATCAAAATTTGCAGGCTTGCAATAGTCTACATAGACACAGAACCTCAGTAAATATCTATATTTTTTTTTTCTTTCAGTAGGTATTTGCTATACTCTGTGGACTGAAAAGCACATATACAAACATGTAAATACTGATCATCCTTTTATTTATACCATCAACTGTCATACTATCTATACATCCTTCAAAAATTCAAAGGGTTGAGAGATGCTTTCCAGTAAGTAAGATTAAGGAAAAGAGAATTTTTTGACTTAGTACCCTAAGAAGGACTACAGCGTTGGTAGGCAGATGTTAGGGGAGAAGATATACCTCTTTAGAGGAAATATCATGAGAAATGCCATCAACAAGGAGCCAAGTCTAGGCCTGGTCAATAGATCTGAGTATTCTTTTGTGGGAGTTGTGGAAGATCAGCCTAGAAAGAACACTGTGTGGATTCTTGGGTAACCGGATATTTGTCTAGTACTTTCTAAGTACTAGAAAGTGGAATTTTAGAGTTTCTTGAGTGAAACCAAAACTTTTGGTGATTTAGAAACACTAATCTTTTGACTATGTTTAGGATGGATTTAGGTGAGAAAAGGGTAGTGATAGGAAATACCATTCTTGCTATGATTGTTGTTTAGTTGCTGAGAAATGTCCTGCTCTTTGCAACCCTATGGACTGTAGCCTGCCAGGCTTCTCTGTCCAAGGGATTCTCCAGACAAGAATGCTGGAGTGGGTTGCCATTTCCTTCTCCAAGGGATCTTTCTAATCCAGGGATCAAACCTGCATCTCTTACATTGTCAGGCAGATTCTTTACTACTGAGCCACCAGGGAAACCCCCCATTATGATTACAGTTAGTCAAGTGTGATCCAATGAGTTGAGCCATGCTTTTTCCATGAAAAGGCTCTTGATGAGCAGGTAACTTTTTCATAAATATATAATTAAAATTATTCCTGTGTCTTTATATTGAATTAGAGCATTAAATGACTTATGAAAATACTGTATTTCATCCCTATAAATTGCAGTGAGTTTAATGTTTATAACTAGGTGCTTGTACTTATGCCTTGAAAATATAGTACTAAGTTGATAGGCTATAACTTCTTCTTTTAATATTGTTTCTGGTTTGTTACACTGCCGTGAGATGTGAGTGCGCAAAGGTAGCACAATATCAGGAGCACTGATTCAAGCCATATAGAACCTCGTAAACTTAGAATTGCTTTTTGATATGTGGGGTTTCTTTTGTAGAGACAAAAAGGGAAAGCTACAAATCATGTTTATAATTTCTCACTATGTCAAATAATCCACTATTTGAAGTTTTCAAATGTTGTTTCATTAAATTTTAAGTTAGAGTTGATCCCCAACCTCCTGTTTATTAAGATCCGAAATCACCATAGAATGCATAGTGAATAAGCATGCACAGTAGTAGCCAATTCCGTCAAGCCTAATTATATTCATATACAGTCTCATGCCTCATCTATGATTCTTCGGGCTGATGAAGTTTATATAAAGGAATCGTCTGTTGAGTACAGTTTGAATTGCTCTTTCAATTTATGTTGTATTCTAAGTCTAGAACTCTGCAAGTGAATTTTTGAAATACCACAGGCATTCAGATGTAAAATACGTGTTTAGAATTTTATCCAGTGTGCGTTAACTTGTACAGGATCATATATATGAATAGATAAAAGTATCCAGATATTCTGTCAACTGATCACAAATGTTTTATTCTTATCTACTTTGTATAAAATGTATAACTCATAGGTGTGGGTAAATTATTCCCAAGTTATGTTTCCTTAACTATAAAATAAAATGCTAAGGATGAACACCAAGAAGAACATTATCAAATAAACAAGTCAGAAATATGTTTTAAAAATATCTTGACTCATGTAACTGTCATGACATCTGGCCACTTCTCATTGCAGATTTGCTTTATGTAATGTATATAAACCATTCTCTGTTCAAGTACATGCTTTAAATCCATATTGAAGCTAATCAGTAGTAGATTAAGATGCTTTCTTTTGAATGAGCTCAAGATTCTACACTGCAGATAGCTTGGAAACTGGACTTTGAACAATGAGGCTGGGCACAAGTTCACTGATTTCTTTTGGTCTTCATTCAGTATTGGATCCAGCATAGTTATAGATTAGTTCCAGTTAGCTAAATAAGGAGAAAAGTAAGCATATGGTTGGCTCCCACTGTAGAAACATCTGCACTGCTGAGACAAACTCATAGCTCCATGGATCCAGACTCCAGATGAGTAATTTTAGTACCTATGTGTAGGATAAATTTCAATTGATAAATTAACCTGTGCATCAAAGTTACTGTTTCTGTATGGTCTAGAATGAATTGTTCTTGTTCTTGCTAAACCATAATGTCACATCTCCAGGTCTGTAGGTCTGTTTATGAGTGTGACTATAAAAAGTGGCATACCATCTTTGGCAACCTTTATTTATTCTGAATATGATATTGATGTGATTTCTTTTTTCATGAATTCAGCTATCTTGTGGCTCAAAAGAATAATCTCTGAAAGGGACATGAAATATTACTTTAACCTAGAATATGAGACTTCTCCACAGCAATGCTGATTGTCTCCCATGTTAAATTATGATGTTTTAATGTAGGCTGTTTTGCCTTCACACTTTTCACTCCAGCAAGATTTTTATCAGATGACCTGGAGAATTAGGTCTGTAAGAATTAATAAACCCCCAAATAAAATTAACAGTATTTCACACTGAACACATTAGAATTTGTTATTGACTAAACATTGGTAGAAAGTTTCCTTACAAAATTTAAACCAAGACCTAGGAAATTTTGGCCTAGTTAAAATAAATCTATAAAATAAAAATTACAGTAATATAAATATGAGCAGAAAAACTTGACATGAAACCCAAACTGATGAATGAATCAAATCTTATTGTGAAATGCATGTACAATGAAACCAACCCCAGTAAAATTAAAAAAAAAATAGACTATAACTGTGATGAATAGAAGATAAATCAAGAAATTAAAATTGTTAATTCGAATTCACTCTAGAAAGTAAAATTGCAAAGATCCATCAGTGGTGACAAAATTTATTCAAATATGTTTGCAATCATAAAGAAATGCTTTCATGGTCAAAGCATTAGAGTCCCAAATAATGTTCATAGAAGGAGGTTCAAGATGGCAGGCTCCAAATATCTTCTGCCTTTTTATATGCAACACCATGGTGGAGGAGGCTTCTCTCTCACCATGCTTTATGCTCAGTAGTGGTCAGTTTTTATTTATTTTTTGTCTTTTCTTTTTTCCCTACCTTTGCTTAATTATCTATGTATCTTTTTACATGTCATTTCAAATGAACATCACAGTAGTTGTATGTGCTGAATTCACTGTTATCCCATTGTATAGCCCAAAGAAACAAAACAAGTTACTGGAAGACTCACACAGAGTAGGTGGCCCAGACAGGCTAGAATTTAAAAAATAGTCTAATTCCTACTTAAACATTTTTTCATTCTGCCACAGCATAACTGACAAATTCTGATGATCATTTATCTTAAGCAGTCAATCTATGAAAGATTATTCTCTGTTACTATAATTGATGGTTAATATGGCCCATCTTTCTTGAAACTGCTTTTGTTATTCAATCAGTCGTGTCCGACTTTTTGCGACCCCGTGGACTGCAGCACACCACACTTCCCTGTCCATCACCAACTCCCAGTTTTCTTAAACTCATGTCCATCGAGTTGGTGATGCCATCCAACCATCTCATCCTCTGTGGCCCCCTTTTCCTCCTGCCCTCAATCTTTCTCAGCATCAGGGTCTTTTCTAGTGAGTCAACTCTTTGCATCATGTGAGCAAAGTACTTTTACTTTGGTTTTCTATCAAGAATGCAGGTGTGATTACCTTATGTGGGGATGATTGTGACTCATCTGAAAGATTTATTTTTCATTCTTTCTGTTTCTCCTAGGACCCCTGAGGTTCCTCTCCCAGACAGAATCTGTCACTGCCTTCATGGGCGACACAGTGCTGCTAAAGTGTGAAGTCACTGGGGAACCGATGCCAACAATACACTGGCAGAAAAACCAGCAAGACCTGACTCCCATCCCTGGCGACTCCCGCGTGGTGGTCTTGCCCTCCGGAGCCTTGCAGATCAGTCGACTTCAACCGGGGGACATTGGAATCTATCGATGCTTAGCCCGGAATCCAGCCAGCTCAAGAACAGGAAATGAAGCAGAAGTCAGAATCTTATCAGGTATTGCAGTGTTCTTTATTCTCATCACAATTATATTTTCTAGAGTAGTTTGAATAATTTTTCCTTGAACACGTATTTGGTGGTAGTTTTTAAGTTCTGTATTGTTTATTGGGTTTAGTTTTATATTGTTTTCCTTCTCATCTAACTGAACCATTAGAAGAGGATATGCCAAAAGCTTTTCTTATCTTTCTGTGTCTTGTGGGAGAACTTTCCAGAGAAATGGGTATTTTCGTTATGTTTGACTTCATTCACTCACTCATCCCATTAATACTTAACAAGTGCTTATTTGTGCAAAATCCATTGCTAAACATTGTTGTTATTTTTTTTTTTTAATTTTCCTTTGATAATAGTCTAAGAGGTAGTTACCTCTATCCCTCATTTCAGAGGATGAGGTGAGGTTTAGCAAGGTTAAGAGCCTTCCCCAAGTCAATACTGAACATTCCTATGCTTGTCCATGTAGGCACTCATTTCTGAGAAGCATTGCGCTAAGTGTTAGGGATCCAGAAATGACTAAGAGTGACACAGAGCCTGGATTTCTTGAGTTCTGGACACCGAAGTAGCTACAGTCAAGTGTGATTGTTATCATGATAAAGAAAGCTGTTTCTCTCCATCTCTCATCTCCATGTCTCTTCCCTGCAAAATCCTTAAGACTCTGGGCTCATTTTTCTCTCCTAAATAATCGATGATTGGAATGGACATTTTTTTAAGATCTTGTCCAATAACTGCTACCTTCTTACGGCTGTGTACTGGGCTAGCCAAAATGTTCGTTTGGGTAGGTTGTAACATCCCAAACGAACTTTTTGGCCAGCTCGGTAATATCTACTTTCTCATTTAATTTTACTTCTATGATTTGCTTGGACTCATTTGTGAGACTCGCAAAAAAAGCAACACTTAAGTAATTGTGACAGACTCGCTGTCAAAGCTCTGACTTTGGCTCTGTCTCAACATCCTGGGTGTAATTATTACAAGTCACTCAGCTAAGTAGAGGGTAACATCCATATGTCATTCCAAATGCAAACTGGTAATTCAATTGAAAGTTTCCAAGACTTTAGTAAGGATGTCTCTAAAACCTCTTCTAACTCTTTTGTGGACTCTCTGTCACAGGGATAGTGACAATTTAATTGTGTCAATAACCATCAGTGACACTGTGTTCTTCCATTCTCTGGGCAGCAACAGATGCAAATGTAGTGTTTATTCCCAGCACGTGCACGCATTTATTTAGGCAGCCATTAGATACACAAAAATTTTAAATATTTATATTCACATAGCCTAAATAATGTATCTTGGTCAATCAGATGAGAAACCCAGGTAAGCCACGTGGAAAATTGGCAAGAATATGTTTGATTATCTTAATATGACCAAGAAGTCTATTTTCTAGTGGTGTTAAGGGATAAAGTTGGACTAATTAAATATTAAATCTGAAAGGGAAACTTTTGAAAGACATAGAAACATAATCATCAAATCACCGTTTATTTGTTCACTGTGTGAAACACATTTGCATTGTAATCCATGGGGATTTATTTAAAACCAAATTTCATATTGTTATCCAGCTAAAGTCAAGAATACATAAGTGTACTTTGGAGGTGTATGGGTATTTCTTACCTGGATAAAAACTACTATTTTTAAAAATTATTGCATCTAATGAGTATATTTCTGTGAGTTTTATGAATTCAAATAAAAATTCTACAAGGGAGTTATGAGCTTAAGTACCAAACAGACCTGTGCTATTAGCATACTTGATGAAGCCTGTCTCCTATACTATTGACCCCATAAAGAATCTGTTGAATGGCCATGTTTGTCCCATTTATCCCCAAGATTGCAAGTTGGTTTAGAGGTCAAATCTATCACAAGTACAAAATTGAGTGAGAGAATGAATAAATGGATGAATGCTCAATTTCAGCTTTTTTAGTTGCCATTGTGATTTTTCTCATTTTTAAAATCATGCCAATGCTTTCTGAATCAATTTCTACTTTCTAGAAGTACCAATTTGAGGAAGTCATAATTGCATAGGTATATTGCCCATTCTCTATATGAACATACATTTAATAGGGTAAGATAAACTCAGTTAAAATAGAAGCCCATCATATTAGTAACATGACTTAGAAGCATTAATGTGACCTGTATTGTTACAACTCTTTAAAAAATAAATTTTCCACAGTCATTTAAATATTAGGTTGATGAATGAATACATCTATTTATGATTTAGTTTGAAATATAAATGCTAATTTGAAGTTTTGCAACTTGGTTCAACACTTGTTTTTTTACCACAATTCATAGAGTATTTTCATTTTGTGATGTGTGTGGAGAGTTATCCATTTCTAAAAAGCATATAATTTGATATCCTTATTCAAATTTATTAGCATACATTTCTGGTTGTCACTTCTATGTATCAGGTGTCTAATATCACCAAGTAACTAAGATTCATAAAATTCAGATTTTAAGAATTAATGAATTGTTTTGAAATACTGTGTTTCAGCAAGCAGTTGAAGTTTATTCACTACACAAATACTTTGTTCAATAAACTTTTGAGTGAATCTTACGTACTTGCCATCACACAGGTTGCTAGGGATACAAAGTTGAAGATAATGCCCCCCAAAAGTATCTCTAGTGGGGGAAACAGACAAAGCAAGTAGACAGTGTTTTGGAAGAAGAAATATGGAGTGCCATTGAATTAATAAAGAAACACCAATGTGCCAGTCTTGAAGAAAAAGTAGTAGCTAGGCAAAGAGAAGATTACACCAGGAGGAAAGAGCCACATCAGCAAAACCAAGAGAAAAGAGAGAAGCTTTTCTATTTGGTTTAACTGGGCCATGAGGCACAGGAAGTATTGGTGGAAAAGCTGGAAGCAAGGGTGATAAACCGCAGGAAGCAGGATGTGGTAGAATGTGCAGCATTAATTCTGGAGAGAATTGATAAAAACTGCTACTAAAGTGATATCAGAAGGGGTTGAGAAGGGCAGCTGGACGGGGGGATATTAATGACAGGTCTTGGAGACTTACCGAATGTAACTTAAGAGGGAGGTTATGGCATTCTTCTCAGTTAAAGCTAGGTAGCAGCACTTTCCCTGAAATTAGGGGCAAGGTGGTGATGCCACTGCAGTTCAAATCAGATTACAAAGTTTAAAAAAAACTTTCCCATCACATTGTATATTTTCAAGGTTAAATGAATAATTCTTTCTTTCATTTAAAGATGGAAAAAGTAACTCATTTAATCTGCCGATTAATGTTTTAAGACAAAAATAAAATTAAGAGGAATTGTACATTTTTAACAGAGTGAGGTTATGTTAAAGAAATTATTTTTGGGGGGGGAGAATATTTATAACAAAACGCTAAAGAAGAGTTGAAATGGTTTAAAATGTCTCATTGTCTGTGATGGAGAACATAGAGATTGAAGCAGCCATTATGATTGTCAAGTTCATTTTATACAGATTTCATCATATCTGAGTGCCAAACAGTAGATTGAATTGCTGAATTATAAATCTGCTTTGGGCACTAGGTTGAGTAAAATAACTGGCCTATACACTGGAACTCTGATTTCAGTTTTCTTAATGACCTAATTGAATTGATCAATTGGTAATTCAGTCTGTTGTTCATTTGTTTAACTATAATTAGATGACTGTAGGTCCTGGATAGACTTGAACTAAATACCTGTGTAATTAGAGACATTGGCTTTTAATGGAATAAATTGGACTAAAATATACTTTGAATGACTTTTCTCTATAATATTTATTTTTATTGGACTAAATTTTAATAAAAAACCATTCCAAAAGGCATATTATTTAGAAGGAAAACCATGTTTGGGAGTTTTAAAAGAGTTTCAGAATTTGTTCATCAAGAAAAATTTATTATTAACTGATAGGTGCATTAAACTTTTTAGTTTGATTTAAGGTTACCTATATATATTTCAAAGTTAATTACACTTTGCTACCATTTAGCTGTATAATTTCTACAAAAGAATGGTCTGTAGAGGAAATCAAAGAAGACATGTTCTTTGTTTTGAAATTTACTGTGGAACCAGAAAGTTAATTCATGTAGCCATGTGGCTAACATAACGCAAGGAATGGTAAATTTAGGTAAACCTCTCTAGTTTCAAATTGATACAGACAAGGAATACATCAATTCTAGATGGAAAATTTGCAAGGCCTTTATAGGGATGATTACTGTTCGAGATCATCAGGAGGTAACCATTTGTAGAATGATAAGAGCAGATGATAAATCTGGAATTAGAAGCTGAAGCCACCTTATGAAGAACCTTGAATCCCATGTCTAGGAAGTTAGACTTGATACTATTCACTTTATTGGTGATTGGGAATGCTCAAAGGTTTTTGAGCAATGAATTTCATGGCAGAAACACACACTCAGGAAAACAAACACGGAAGTGAAGAACACATCACATTAATGTTTTACCTGATATTTTGGGATCATACTTAATGTTTTTTCCTGTGTTGAAGGATTTTCCCATTGTTTGCTCTCTTTTTTTAGGCTACTTTTGAATAAAACTATTCCCTAAGCCATGCTATAAACAGGGTGAAATAATTTCTTATGCTTCTCTTTTATATGTGCTTAGAAAAGAGCAATGTTCATCACAGCACTGTTTACAATAGCTGGGACATGGAAGCAACCTAGATGTCCATTGGCAGATGAATGGATAAGGAAGTTGTGGTACATATGGAGTATTACTCAGCTATTAAAAAGAACACATTTGAATCAGTTCTAATGAGGTGGATGAAACCAGAGCCTATTATACTGAGTGAAGTAAGTCAGAAATAAAAACACCGATACAGTATATTAACACATATATATAGAATTTAGAAAGATGGTAATGTCTTTAGACGTTAGGGTCCTTAGAAATACTCTATACACGAGACAGCAAAAGAGACAGATATAAAGAACAGACTTTTGGACTCTTGAGAGAAGGCAAGGTTGGGATGATTTGAGAGAATAGCATTGAAACATGTATATTCAGTTCAGTTCGGTTGCTCAGTCGTGTCCGACTCTTTG